ACCTCGAAATAATTTGGGATCAAAAAATTTGACGATACGTGACCAGTAAATAAATCTGTAACTTAAAATTATGAATATGTGACCATTAATCACAAAATGTGACTTTATTATCTTTATTTAATAAATATTTTTAATTAATTAAATAAATACCTGATTTTTGAATTTTTAAACTATTTACGTTATTTTTGAATTGAGGTAAAGAATACACCTTAAATATGATTTTTTCGCTTTGTATAATTGTATTCAATGTGCCCTTTCACGTATAGATGGAGCCTGACTAAGGTAAGCCCAGCCCATGGCACAACATGGCCAATATTGAACTGTGGTGTGCGCTGGCCAGCCTCTACAGCTGAGCTATGTTGGGCCCACGTCTAGGGACCTTAAGGCTATGCTGGGCTGATCCGCTTGATATTTCAAGGAAAAAATTCTTGAAAGTGGAATGCGAAGTCAATTAATAGGAACATGTTAAAAGTTCACCATGCTGAGCATCAAGATATTTTGGTTTGCTTGGCCTAGGAATCTTCTAAACCAGCATCTCCAGGCCTGACACTTGCACAGTTTGGCGATACTTGATTCGAAACCCTTTACAAGTTATAATAACAAATTGAATGATCCCGTCTAAAAACTTAAAATGTTAGAGAGCGAATATATATTATTTAAATGTTGTCTTCAACAGGTGGCTCCGCATGCTCATCCAAGGGCTTCCGAAATGATGTTCGTGAGCGCTGGCGTCGTTGTAGCTGGATTTGTAGATTCCAACAACCAGGTTTTTCAGAAAGTTCTCCACGAAGGTGATGTATTTGTGTTTCCAAGAGGTCTTCTGCACTTTTGTTTCAATGCTGGTTTTGAGAATGCCACTATTTTCTCAATTCTGAACAGCCAGAATCCAGGGCTAGCAAGCATATCAGGCGCAATGTTTGCACCCGATGATTCCAAGGCAATGAAAATGCTAATGAAGAAATTGATTTCTCAGTCTACACTGGATTTGGGTCGGATTAATATGAATTTGTTTTCGAATTAAGCTTATGAAGATAACTTAATTTCAATACTAGTATGGATAGAGATTTCTAACTTATTTTTTGTCATGCATATGATGTTCATTTTTTATTTGATGTAACATGTCACATGTCCCTTTATATATGAGTTGAAGGTTAGGCCAAGCCCCTTCTTAATATATAATGTGTTTTATCTTCGTTATTAATAGAATATGTCATGCCTGTTTATTTCTCTCTCTTCATTATCTTCCTTAACAAGAATTTTTTTTTTGTCCGTACTTAGGATTGGAACCATCAGCTTAATTTATATACATCCAAGCATCATACGAATAGTTATTTCTTGGCTAAATGCTTGTTTAATAAGAAGAATCAAAGATTTCTTTTCTTTAATAAGAGGTAGACCACATCCGTGACTTCACCGCTATCTTTTACAGCTAATAACTAATCAAATTGGACCCCACAAATTATGCAAGCACGAACATTTTGTGACTTGTACTTGCTTTACCTAGAATATCAACCTTGAATGGTGGAGAGCTGTCCATCCATAGTCAACGTCATCTTCGTCTTCATGCCATCTCTCCACATTAGTGGATCCAGCCATAAAATATATTGTCATTTGCAATAGTCAGAACTCAAAAGTTCTCTTTATGGAATTCAAATTTGGTAGAGGTCTTGTGAGAAAAATCAGAGGCAAGTTGTCTTAGTTTTTTCACTGGTGGTGGGGCCCCACAAAAGAATACCCCTGTAAATGTCAATGGAAAAATTCAATTCAAGACAAGTATTTCTATAGAACATATGAAAAGATTAGATTTGTGTAGTGTAGGAACTTACCAACCGTTTCATTGGGGTGATTAAGGGCGATGCGTTTGTAGACGCTACGCCAATTAGGTTTGGCAAAGTGAGACTTGACTCGGGTTCCGGAGACAATGTCTACTCCATTTTTGGCATGGTTGAGGGATTGAAGCATCGTAATGAGTGCCGATCGAGCATCACCTTCTTCATAAACACTGGTGCAGTAATTGTGCATTTCTATTACTCCCTTGTGGTCCATTTCACCAACCTCATTCATAACTCCTTTGAACCAATCAAAAGAGCCTTGTTCCCTTGTAATCCAATAGAAGTATGCCCTATTTGTTCTAAAGTTATGTCCTTGCCCGGATCCCGGCTTTCTAGTATTGGGTGGCGGAGGCTGGCTGTTGTTGGCGGCTCCTCCAGTTCCCTCCTCCAAAACATGCTCTTGATCCTCCTTCGCCTTCATGTTGTTCATTATGTCTTTGATGACACTAATCATTGGTGTCGCACCAATACCGAGCCCAACAAGCAACACAACATTGTACTTTTTGTAGTCTTGAGTTGGCGCTCCATATGGACCATCAATTAACACCCTTGGAAAACTGTGGATGGCGGATATCAACGACATAATTAGATTCGTTTTCTTGGAAATCTAACAAAATGTAATTACTTCAATTTTGTGACTTTTGTCCCAAATCACTAAATTAAAACTTGACTTTCAAACTTGTAATTATTCAGGCAGTCGTCCCTTATAAGCAAGTTTTAAGGGTGTATCCAAACCAAACACCATACTCGAGTTGAAAAGATTTGCTGATGGGGTACCTCAAAAGAGGACTATTGTCTATTACCAGTACAAGACTGGCTCCGACCAACTTTAAGAATTAAAGTTTTACTCAACGTTATCGTGACAAAATAGTAATGAATTTAGTACTGATTTTGAATGTTTCCTAGATGCAATTTGTATACATTTAATTAAAAGTGTAGCAGAATTGGAAAGGAAAATTACTTGGGATTATTCTCTCCTTGCAAACAGTCAGCTCTAAGGTCTCCACTTTTTCCGGTAGGTGGCGGTTGACAAACCTAACAAAAGACCAAAAAGAGTAGTCCAAATAATTAACAACCACCAAGAACTTTTTATCAACAAGGTCACATAAATTTCTTGTATTCTTGGATAATCTCAAATCGTAAGACAGAGAGTTTAATTTCAAATCGTAAGACAGAGAGTTTAATTTCAAATCGTAAGACAGAGAGTTTATATTATTTAAAGGGATAATTGCAACAGAGGCTCTAAACCTTTCAAATAGTTGCAGACTTTCCTTTGACATTTCATTTGTTGCAACTGTCTCTTCTAACCTTTCGAAACGTTTTTATTTAGGGTAGGTGAAAAAGGTGAAAAAGATGATAGATAATTTAGAGTGAGGGTGAGGGTGGGGGTGGGGGTGGGGGTGGGGAAGACGAAGATCTATATTTTTATTTTTTTGTTTCTCTAATTTGGTTTTAACTTATCTTAATATTATATATTGAAAGTTATCATTATGTCATTTACAAAAAATATAAAAAAAAATATGGTCAAACTCAAGTTCCTGGTCAACTAACAGACATTTGGATGGAATCCGTTCATTGGGGCTTCAGCCACATCGTTTCGAAACGTTAGGGGCGACGGTTTTAATGAGTGAAAGATCAGGAAAAAGTTAACAACTATTTGAAAAGTTTGGATCTTCTGCTGCAATTATCTCTTAATTAAATATAATGCCCTTTCTGGTTTGTTTCAATTTTCAAAAAGCATATTTTTTTTATATAAAGTTGAAACATATATAAAGTAGATAGTACTCAACCCAACTGAACATTATAATATGTCGAGTCCATATTGTCAAATTTTTCAAAAGGGTTTCGATCATTCTCAATTGGTCTTAGAATTCTTTGTTCTTGTTGTCGAGACTGTAAACAGTAATTTTTTAAAGTAAAATATCGCTCACCTCGGAGAAAACTTCTTTGAGTCGTCCTGTCCAATCACCAACAATTCTAATATGAACACTGACATAATCATCTCCTGGAGCAGAAGTAATGGAAAATGGGTGCCTAAAAATAAGTGGACCACGAAAAAAAAGTTACTTATCTTAACAAGAAAATCATCGAAGTTATATACATTTCAACATAATCATGATGCTAATTGATAAAATTAACTTGTTTATTTTTTTGCTGACTCGTGCTACATTACTGTCGACAATATAAAAAAGAAGCATTTTTAAATAAAAATAATAATATTATCTTTCAGGCCACCCACCACTCGAATGGCGAAACAGCTGCACAATTGACAAAAATGTATTGTCCACTTTTGTATTTGAAACCTTGGGGCTTGGACATATTGAGGGCCAGCACATNAGACTGTAAACAGTAATTTTTTAAAGTAAAATATCGCTCACCTCGGAGAAAACTTCTTTGAGTCGTCCTGTCCAATCACCAACAATTCTAATATGAACACTGACATAATCATCTCCTGGAGCAGAAGTAATGGAAAATGGGTGCCTAAAAATAAGTGGACCACGAAAAAAAAGTTACTTATCTTAACAAGAAAATCATCGAAGTTATATACATTTCAACATAATCATGATGCTAATTGATAAAATTAACTTGTTTATTTTTTTGCTGACTCGTGCTACATTACTGTCGACAATATAAAAAAGAAGCATTTTAAAATAAAAAAAATAATATTATCTTTCAGGCCACCCACCACTCGAATGGCGAAACAGCTGCACAATTGACAAAAATGTATTGTCCACTTTTGTATTTGAAACCTTGGGGCTTGGACATATTGAGGGCCAGCACATTTCCAGAGTAAACAGCCACCTTCAGTCGAAAAAATTGTCATTTGAACATGATCAAAGGAAGAGAAGGACGTGGTGGAATTTGTGAGTCGTGTTCCGTTCAGCATATCGAGCACTGACTAATAGTTATTTACCTTCAGGATCTTAACGGCCTTGATGCTCGACCTGAATGCTCTAATCAATCTTTCCCCAGCATAGATTGTGACGGGGATTGCCAAATACATCCATGTCTGCACAAGATAGTTTTCAAGTTTTAGATAAGTTGATTTAGTTAAAAACGATGATAAAAGATTAAACGCGAGATACTAACCGTTTTCTTGTACCATTCGTGGGTCAAATAGAGCTTGATGCCATGAATAATGAGGCAAATGTACACGATGACGAATAGATGGTGAGAATACCAGAAGGCATTGAATCCGGTGAGTTTCTTCAATGGTTTTGGTAGGTTTACTCGATCTCGCCTGAACCATGGGGTTGCTAATGTGAAGGCAATTGCCATTAACACCACCATTATGATTCCAGTCACCCCTTCCCATTCCTTCACAAAATGCCAATAGCTAGTAGGCTGATCTCCGAAGAAAGGCTCCATTGGCTCATACTTCTCAGGACTTGCATGAAGAAGTCGAGGGAAGTCGCACGTCAAGTGACTAATTCCATGTATTCCGACGCCAATGGCTATTGCCACTGCAATCACCTTTATCAAAATAGAATTAGTTAGTTGTTGTGTTATGTCTAGTCTAATGTTCGAAGGGTTAAAAACTCTGTTGTTGACTAAACTATTAGCGGAATTTCATGTAAATAGGAAGTGAACGACGAAATTATAATAAATGTTTAAGTTGAGCGATCAATTCAAAGATAAAATTTATACATATTGATCAACTTGGATCATCAAACATGCATCTCATCAAGAATTGGTAAGGGCTAAAGGAATTCGACTGACTTTGTGAAAATTGAGGTTGTCATCGAATGGCACAGCCAAACCTAACGTCGTCTTGTTTCTGAGCCAGGTGATCGTGTTCCGGCAGACTGGAAGCAAAATCAGTGCCATGTTAAGCTTAAGTATTTCAGCAGCGCCCTTAGCAAGACACACGCAATGACCCATAACGTCAAATGCCGCTCTGTTTTTATACTGGACATACTTATAAGCAAACAAACCAGCCATAACTCCAATCCACAATGCCATCACCCAAACTCTCTGCCAGTTATCCAATAGAAAGTACTTAAAATCTTGATACCATCTTTTTAAAGGGTGGTCTAAAGTTGGCTTAAGCTTCTCACTAAGCA